CATATACCTCACATATCAGAAATATGAACAAGATGCCAATACATCGCTTACTTCTGAATGATGTCTCTGATGGTATGTCTATTTCAAGAATATATATTTATACACACACACTACACATTGCACAAAACACTTGGGCATTATGGGTTAGGTACAGCACAGGGGGAATTGGAAAGTACTTTTTAGCTTGTTAATACCCTTACTTGAGGCAAAAATATGGTGGCACATTGTTGGGAAATTATGAAAACATAAGGCCCCTGTCCCATTTTTAATAGAACATCACTGAGGTACATTTTTATATGCTGTGCCACAGATTTGGGGTGGGGTGGGGAGATAAACACAAGCTTGATTTATTCTTATAACATTGAACTGGGGGTCAACATTAATATCTATAAAAACAAAGATTACTTGGCAAATTTTCCTAAGTCCCAAATGTGATCTATTCTGGATATACTGGAAGTAAAAAGCTTTTTGCTGAATCTTCAAGAGTAAAGTGCATGTCTCATCACTCCACAGCAGCAGTAAATAAAAGGAACTATTTGCCAATCTTCCTGGAGGGAGGGAAGGCACCATATTTTCATTTTTAAAGGAAGATGAAACTGGGAAATAAAACAGACTAAGAAAAAACACAGGTAATACCAATATAAGTTTCCAACTCTGGTCTGGGATAAATGCTGTTACGATCTATATGGTTAAAAGAGGATTTCTATTTGGGGAAACACATATGAACGATGATTCTATTTCCAAAACCAAAAAGTAGAATCACATAGTCTATCAATAGAAAAGCTAAAATTAGGTCTGTCTCAGAAAATCTAAGACATATGGCCACAATTATATGCCATTAAAATATCTCATTCTAAAATGCACCTGGTAATAGGTACATTCTTCCAGGACAGAGCTTAATGCCCATGACTAGACTACTGCAAAAGACAAGGAGTATTCTAAATTACTTTTTATTAAATAGGAACACAGGTGATTTCCAGAAGACATGTGGAAATTAACACCAGTTGTATATATCTTCCTAATACTCTTATAGTACCTAAAATCAAATTCTTAGCAGACAAATTGGTCCCATTTTCATTTTTAAAGCACATAGTATTTAAAGCATAAACTGTAATGATTATATTGGAGTTATCTAAAAAATATAAAAACTAATTAGAATCTGGAGGAAAAATGAAAAGGATGAAGGGAAACAAAGAATAAAGTATCCAACCCCCAAAGTGAATAAATAGATGAGCCCTTTCATTTGGAGATTAATGTTCTGCCTTAACTGCTTATTTCAGAGAAAACCATGTGCATTGGTTCCATCATAATTCTTACTCCATGTTACAAAAGCCATTACATAAATTTGGCACAATTAGCAATTTACTCAGAAGAAAGGATAAATGGGAAAATATATTAAAAATGGAAACTGCACACCTATACCACTGCTCTTTTTAAGAGAACAGTGAACACTTAAGTAAGCACCAAGTTCACAGGGGAGAAAAAAGTGGAAAAAAAAATTCTGCTATGCACACAAAATGATAAAAGACATTGATACTGATTTATGATAAAGACACCGAAAATGGCACTGAAAATAAAGACACCTTTAATAATTTATTTTTTTATAATGGCCCCGCTCTATCATTCTGCTAAGCCGTTCATTGTCCTATGATAGGTTATTTATTGAATAGGTTGGATGCTATATGGCTAAAACTCTTTCATGCTAAATTAACCTTAGTTACATCTGGTAGATCCAGATCGAAATCTCAAACTTCCTCATATTTAGAGAAAACAGTACAATATTTTGCAAGGTCACCTGACCTTCTTTACACTCTATCTTCTCTTGTATTCTCTAGTGTTTGGGAAATTGGAACATCCTTGATTTTCCAAGAGTTTGACATGTGGACTCACTTCAGTTCATTTTGAATCCTAAAAATTATGACACAATCTCATTGCTACAAGGTTTTCAATGCACATGCTATGCTGGCAACAGTATTAACATTTGATTGGAATCAAAGGATAATCAAAGATCCAGCTACAAGTGAAAGGACAGCAGAGCTGGAACACTAGAGTGGGCAGAGTACAACTGCAGCCGTATAGCTGGGGGAATCACTGCTAAAGTGCTGGGGCAGAGGGGTGCCCACAGAGAAAACACAGTACCTTTAGGGAACTTTGCATGTTAAAAGTATCTTCCTTTTTTTCTCAGCTGCTAAAGAGATCACCTATGGACACAAGTAAAATTTAAAATTGAGATAATGTTTTTATCACCTTGAAAAGTAAACAGTATATAAATAAATACTGGACAAGGGCAACCCTGTTATACTATAACAGTAAGTTCCAAATGAACCTTCAAAACCATAATTTGACAAAAATGCAAACTAAAAAACAACGAACACATAATCCAATTTCAAAACTATATACAAACTCGGACATTTTAAATTGAAAAAGACATTAAGCAACAAAATAAGACATCCCAAACACCAAAGAAAAAAACTGAAGATAAATGGAAACCTAATGGCACAATGCCTCCAGAAAACAATGTGTTGTCAATAGTCTATAGGAGAGAATCTTTCAAGAGATTATGATTCAGATTTTCAAATGTTTTTGGGTAAAGTAACCTGAGACTGATTCTTGAGCCTATTGTCATTCTGAGTAAGATATCTGGACATGCCCTTCAAATGACATCATGAGATGAGTAAACAGAAAATCTTATCTCCCTCCTGCCTTTCAACGTACCAACAGCGAACCATATTCATGGACGTAGGACTCTTTCTAGTGACACTGAAGGCAAAGGAGCTGACTGGTATAAAAGGAGGTATGGTACTTCTATATTCCTTTACATATGTTTTGGCTCAAGTCAAAAAGCCTTTAATTAATGAAATAAAGGATTCCTCATGTTACATGCTGGAGGCCACATACTGTGAACAGTGAATCTACAAATATTACTTTCAAAGCCTAGAGTTATCTGTTAGCAATGCACATTGCCAAGAGGCTTTATAAAAAGTTTTAAATGCCAACCATGACTCAGACATGAAAGATATGCATAAGTCCAGAATATTGATAAAAATCAACCAGCATGTCATTCACTTCAACTCTCATTTTAAATAGGCACTGTGAAAATGGGAATGCTGCTGTACAATGAGTAGTATATAATGAAATTAGTGTTCTTTAAGGAGTACCTGCTCTACATTAATTCCCTTTAGTTAAAGATGCACATGAAATATTCAGAAAAAAATTTTATCAGTCTATAAAAGGAGTTAGTGTTTAGAAATGAAAATGAAGCACTTGCATCTTCATTTTTAAAAACTTCACAAAGGTGCAAACAACATAATGCTTTCCAGGCTCACATGGGCAGATCAGTACTATTATGTCTAGTTTTCCTAGATGTACCATCGTCTCGTGGCAGTGCTTTCTGCAAATTTGACATAGCAGCAGTTCTCTCGATGTCTATCACAGCATACAGCTCTGTGCGCCTGGTAGGGGTTTGTGGAAGGGGAGTGGTAGGTGTTTTTGGAGTTTGAGGGTTGTCAGAGTCACTGCCACCTTCCAAGTCAACCTGTATGTAATTGAGCTGCCTGTGTTCTAAACTTGGGCGTCTGATATCAAAGTTAAAGACTGTCGGTGTACAGTCCCGACGCCTTGAGTATTCTATTTTGTGAGCACTTGCCGGCACTGTTACATTCTCTGTATTTACATAGTTATGCATTGGATCTAGATTATTATGGTAGCCATTTAGGGACGGGGTCTTTGGTCCTAAATTGTCGTCTTCGTCCCTACTTAGTTTGCGGGCTTCCCAAACAGGAGGCAGAGATGGTAAATTTTCATAGTTTAATAATGCAGTTCTTCTCTGAGCGGAGTTGTTGATATTCTGGGTATCTGAGGTACTGGTGGATGTCAGACGACCTCTCCTGACCCCTGAGGCACTAGGGATAGATAGCCCATTTATATTTTCATACACCAGTTTGTTAACAGAGGGTGCATCTCTTCGTTCATCACTGTCATAGCCAGTGTCCCATTCTGTGTTATTTGCACCACTTCCACTAACTTGATCTTTTCCAAGTTGCTCCAGTTTCTCTTTTTCCATTAATTGCTTTTGAACAGGGGTTGGTCCTAAAACAAACTTGACACCTTCGGGTTCAAGAAGAATCTGAGGGTCCCTGTCCTCAATGCTACTTGGTTCTTCTTTTGGTGTGTTGCTTTCAGCATTAGAAACCCTTGCCTCCAATGGGACATGCACACTTGTGCGGTTTTTCCGTTCTTCTTGCACACCTGTAGTGTTGACGTAGGTATGTACCTAAAATGAAACAGAAAGTGAATGAGTAATTTACTTAAAAAGCAAAACAAAAAAAGCCTGACCATATCAGTTAATTTTATTAAATTTCTCTCCCTAAATGTACTCTTAAATAAAAACTTTTGCACCTATTTTTTATTCATAAAAAGATGGGAGAAAAGGAGGAATGTAGAAATATCTTCCTAATTTGACAAAAGAATAACTACTTTAAAATAACACGCATTATATTTGATGGTGAAACACAAGCACAAGTGTTGTTTAGAAAAAAAAATCAAGAACAGGGATTATCATTTTGATGCTGTTCTAGAAGTTCTTGTCAATGCATTAAAACATGATTCAGAAATAAGAAATAACAAATATTGAAAAAGAAGAGATAAATTTATCATTATTTACTGATGATCTGACTGTATAAAGAGATAAACCCTACTAGATTTAATAAGGGTTCTATAAAATGCATAGATATAAAATAGATACCACCAAGTAAGAAATTATCACTATTTCGAAAAGCTCAATGGCATTTTGGGGAGATGATATAAAAATGTTTGCAAGTCTATACATAAAATTTTAAAGATTCAAAAGTGAAATGCAGAATTGGGAAAAAATGTAATTATAGTAAGTAATATAAGAACTCACTATGTAAAAAACACAAAGAAATTTACTTTAAAAACACTAAAAAGTGGACATGAAACGTCCCATGCGTGCAGGCAGCTGCGCCGGGCCACAGGAGAAGATGGCAGTCTCCACAGGAGTTAAAGTTCCTCATAATTTTTGCTTGTTGGAAGAACTTGAAGAAAGACAAAACGGAGTAGGCAACGGTATGGTTAGCTGGGGCCTTGAAGATGATGAAGATATGACACTTACAAGGTGGATAGGCATGATTATTAGGCCACCAAAGGCAAATTATGACAACAAAATATACAGCTTAAAAGTAGAATGTGGACCTAAATACCCAGAAGCTCCTCCATCAGTTAGATCCATAATAAAAATTAATATGAATGGAATAAGTAATTCCAGTGGGATGGTGGATGCACGGAACATGCCAGTGTTAGCAAAATGGCAAAATTCACACAGCATTAAAGTTGTACTTCAAGAGCTAAGACATCTAATGATGTCCAAAGAAAATACAAAGCTTCCACAGCCACCAGAAGGACAAATATACAACTAATTTTAGTGAATCTCAAACTTATCTTAAATCAACAACCTTCTACTCATGTTAACATCTTGATTAAATATCACAATGCAAAATACCCACACATTAAGTAAAAGAATTCCACCTGGTAAACATGACCTGGACATTTGTAATACCCATTAAATAAGAATATATTTAATATATGTACACCGTTATGCTTTCAGGTAACAGGAGGAAAAATGCAGCACCATTTTTTTCTCTTCTTAAGGCACTGTCATTTAAACATAAACCTGGAAGATTTGAGATAGAATTCAGGTTTACAAGGTGAAAGCATGAAGAGAGGTGTCAGATGGCAGTGGAAGCATGTCTTTTTCTGAAAAGTAAAAAATCTCAAGATGGAAAAACAGAAATGACATACTTTATCCATCTTGCTTAGTGAAAGAGCTGCAATTGAAATTGTTTAAAATAGTAGGTGCAATGAATATTGTCACAAATTGTGTTAATTTTTGAAGCAGTGTGGGTGCTAACTACTAGTAGTATCAAAAATATGTTCAAGATTGTTTTGATACCGGTATTAATAATAAAAAAAATGTTGGGGGGGGGTTGATGAGTTTCTGTTAAAAGCTATTCCTGTGTGTTGCATGTAATAGACACGGTAAATATTTGTTTACAGTCTTTGCTGAACAAACCATGCATTTAATATTAAAGTGAAGTCAACAAAAAGGAAATAGGTGTATGGATATGTGATTCTGAGATTAAAGATAGTATTAAAATGTAAATAAAATATGGAACATGTCCTCAAAAAAAAAAAAAAACCACTAAAAACCTCTTAATGGTAAATAACACAAGGTTTATAAACGATAAGTAGAACTAATTAATACAGAGGTAATGTTCAACCAGATACTTCATTCCACAAATGAAAACCAGGATAGTCAGGAACACTAAATAGCTCCATAACATCAGCAACAAAATCTACTTTCCTGCTACTAAGTAGTTCAATGATTATAAAGACTACAATATAAAAAGCAGCAGAAATTCTTAATCCATTGGAGGTTCTTATGTGGGAACAGACCTTATGTCTTTCTTAATCTATAGATGCACCTCTCCTGTGAACCCACAAATTTCCCTAATGCTTCGTTTCCCTGAACACTTGCATATGTTTGAGCACATGCCAGCAAATACATGCTATTTCCTCTGATTATTCACAACAAAAGTAATTTACAAACAGTGAAAGTTAAAAGTATTAGCACAGTAATATTTTAACTCCACACAATCATTATTGCTGTTAATACAGTAGCACATGCTTACTTGTTCCTCAGCCACAAGCAAAGGATGTGTAGATTCTTCACCTACTGAAGGCAGGCGAGCACTTCCCACGGAAGGATGTCTGCTTGAAGGATGGGATGAAGCATCTCCAAATGAGGGATATCGAGGATATCCATTAGGTAAGTTCTGAGCAGCAAACCCTGGAGCTGAATTTTTGTTTATTTGTATAAAGAGAAAGGCAGGATATGGGGCAGGACAGAGAGAATAAAAATGAATAAGAATCTAATCTGCACTGAGAAGATTAAAAAGATTTCTGGCAAGACAGCAGAAATCAGAACACAAACAGCACTCCCACACATTTTAGATAATAAAAAATATTTAATGTTTTCATTTAAAAAATATTTGAAATGTTTATAACTATAGCTAATAGTTTTTTTAAATTGACCACTATTATACTTCTGTTAACCAATGGTGACTTCTAGTGTGTTATAAATTAAATATACATAAGCTATAGCTTATAAATGTCTGTAATTCAAAATGTGAGAGGGAAAATGGGTACTTACTTGTAGGTGTTCGGGGTGTTCTGGGGACTTCCAATTCTGTCTGATGATTGTTTCTTTCTACAACTGGCTCTTCTACCACATTTATACTATTATTTTGCATAATCTCTTGCAACATGTTAAATAATTCTTCTGCACGGGCACACTTAAAGGCAAAGATTCCTACAAATACAAACCAAAAGGGAAAAATGGTTATCATGCCTTTAAAAAAGCTACAGGAACACCTATCAAAGAACAGAACTATAATGTAGGCATTCTATATACCAGTAGCAATAAAGGTCTGTTACATAAATGTCTAATAAACTAATGATTTTCCCTGTTTGAAAACAAACCCAAAAGAAAAGTTCACAGAATAATTTTCATTTGTCTACGGGAAATGGCCCAAAACAAAGCAGACAAAATGCAAGATTTGCACACCTACTCTAGTCTGCTTTTTAACAGCAGGGGGAGCCCAACTCACCACTACCAAGGTGAACATTTACCATTTAATAGTGTTTTCCAATCATTATCTTGCTTAGTTATTACAATAATTCTATAAGATAGGTATTACCACTCTCCTTTTATAGAGAAGATACAACAGAGGTCACGTAACTCACCAAGGCCATTCAAGTAGTAGGTAGCAAAAAAATCAAACCATGTTCTGTTTGACTCCAAAGTTTAGGTTCTTTCCCCAACAAGTTATAACAATAAAGACACTTAGTCAATTTAGCAGGACTAATCATTTACTAAAAATCTTAAAGTTAACACGAGCCAAAATTTCTGACATAGAAAATGTGCTTAACAAACACTTGATAAATGAATGTAGTTTATTATCTTTTCTTAACAATCCACTTATTTTGGGAATTTTTTCTTTCAAGAGGAAAACAAAACATTAAATACTAGATATAGATTAACTGAAAGAACAAAATTTAAAATAGGATAATATTTGGAAAAAAAAACAAAGGCTCTGTCTACCTTGTCCAGTTTGACACCTTCGACCACTTTCAAAAGAAAAGAGATTCGAGTCGTAGCCATAGCGCCGTAGGCAGAGGTAGTGCCATTTTACCGAGTCACGTTTGCGGGTGTATAAAATCAGCTCTGTGTCTGTAAGTTCCATTACGCCGGAACCTAACTCATTCCCATCATCATCCACATTAATGACCTAAAAACAAAAGATGACAGCCATACAAATATTTCACCAATTCCTCAAAAAAATGCCTTGCTGCTGATTGGTTCAGTTATTTGCTCATTTGTTAATTCATTCATCAACCAATGTGTGTGTAAGGCATGAATTATAAAGCAGTGTAATACCCAGTTCATATCTGTAATAAATTTACATTCCCACTGGGGAGACAAGATACACAAACACAAAGTCAACACCACAAAACTGTGTATGATTAATTGTCAAATAAATGCAAAAGTGGCTGCAAAAGGCAGGAATTGTGGCCTATGGCTCTTGAGAAACCTTCATTTAAGAGGAGGAGGGACTTTAGCTGGACCTCCAGTACAATTAAATTTAGACAAGAACTAAAATAAGAGGGAAAACCTAGTGGGTCAGGGGATATAGGACACATCATAAAGATGCAATGCTAAATCAGAACAAAAAAGGTAACTTTCAAAGAGACCAAAATAAGATTGGCACAGAGCTCATATAAGGAAAGGTCTTACACTGCTGAGCTTCAGAAAACATCCAAAGACTAATAACAGGTAACATTTATGGAGAAGTTACTATTCCCCTGGGACTAAGCAAAGTGCTATACGTTTATTTTTCTTATTTAACCCTCATAACGATCCTAGACTGCATCGTACAAAAATGGAATTAAGATTTAGTGATAACATAACTTGCCCAAGGTCACAAAACCATGAAGTAATAGAAGCATGACTTACACCCAGGTTTGTGTGATCCAGAGGCTATGATCTACAGCAGACTGAGGTCAGATTATGACAGAGACACTAAATGGCTATGGGAGCATTTAGCCTAAAGGTAACAAAACACCAACCACAGAAGTTTTAGCAAACAAGTTAGTGAATGATGAAAGAGGAAGATTAACTTGATGGTGACTACAGGATGAGTCACAGAGTGACTAGAGGTAGACTCCATTTAAGAAATTGTTCAGGCACACATGGAAAGGCCCCTGAAAAATGGCATTTTAAAGACAGTATTACCAGAACTGTGTGGCTATTAGATTCAAAAGACCAATGGAAAAGTAAAAAGAGAATTCCATACTGTCAGTAAGAAAAAGTTGTCCTTATTTATTAAACCCAGAAAAGGCAGAGTGGAAAAAAAGGGAAATATAAAAGTCTAGTGATAAAAGTCAGAAGGTAAGATATATTAAGTGAAATAAAAGAAGAGCATCCAACTAGAGAGTAAGATATAGAACTCAACCAGTTTTACTGACCTTAAACTTGTTCCGATGGTTATCTGGGACAGTGTCTTTATCTGGACAGCTACAACAGCTACCCATGGCTTCTTCAGAAGACCATGTGAGCACTACATGAAAAATAAAAATTATCAGATGTAGGATATAAAAATTGTAACAGAAAAATACTTTAGAAATCATCTAACACACACATTATTTTGATGCAAAAAAATTAAGCCCAACAAGGCACATGGCTGAAGCCAGATTTCACACAACTCGTCAATTTTGCTCAATGACAAGAATAAATTTTGTGAGGTAGATGTAATAGAGATCTCAAATTTCTAGTTTAATTTGCAAAGGTCTGCCTATTCTAAAATTATCTAAAAAACAAACCAATTTAAGGTCTTTCACATAATGCTATTGAAATATTTATGGTTAATTAAGAGTTAATCATGGAATTAATTAATAATTAAGAGTTAATCATAGAATTAATCCTTTGTGGCTTATCAGGAATTTCATGTCCTTTTCTTAAAAAATTACCAAAGGGATGCCAGACTTCTGGCTTGGCAGGTATTTTGATTCTTGTTACTCACTGTAGTATCTGTTATGTACTCCACAAGATAAGAATTCATTGATAAATAAGACATAAAATCAAATTTCAAACAGTGCATTGATAAGAGAGAAAGACAATTCAAAATCCAAGCAGTAATGTAACACACAGAATAGTGACAAATTGATATAGTAAGTCTATTTAATATTCCTTTCCCAAAGAAGGCTAGAGATAAGATGTTATATAGGTGACATTAAGTGTTCAAGAACATTCTGAATGAACAAGGGAAAAATTCAAAGCATCACTTACAAATAACGGAAA